CATAATGCCATGAGATCCATCCAGATTGCTGCGTGTGTCAGTGGCTCATTCTCGTTAAATTGCTGACTAATACTCAGTGTCCAGCCCGTTAGACTGTAACCTTTTACCTATTGAAAGACATTGGGTTGCTTTCAGGTTTTGCTGATGACACATACTTAATGTGAGTATTGGAGTACAGGTTTTTGGGTAAATATAAGTCTTCATTTCTCTAGAATAAATGTCTAAGAGGGATACTGGGTTGTATGATAAGTGCACATTACTTTTATGAGAAACTGCCAGGCAGTAGACCAGGCATAATGGTTATATCACTGGACTTTCACATAGTCGACCATGGTTCAAGTCCTGGACTCGGTGGCTTAAAATCCATGCCAGGCATGTGTCTGTGTGTCTGTGTGTGTGCCTAAGATCCCAGGAGGAGAATGGAGGAGAAAGAATTTCGATGTGGCCATTCCCCCTGGGGAGGATGATTTTTCGATGTCTCACTTTTTGTCTCTCTGTCTCTCTGGTGAGTGCATGTGCCCTATAGAAAAAATCTCTCATTAAAAAAAAGAAAAGAAACTGCCAAACTATTAGTCATGGTGGCTGTGCCAACTAATCGTCCCACTGAGCGTGAGAGGGTCGGTGCCAGGATGCACCCTCCTGCCCCCAGCACTCCGCAGACGTTGTGCAGGGCCTAGCATCGTGCCAGCTGCCTTAAGCACGGTCAGCGGCCTGGGTCAGGGGGCCTGGCCTTTGAGGAGCCGCAGGCATCAGCTTTTCTTTTCTTTCCTTTTCTTTTCTTTTTTTTTGGAGAGGTTTTTGCTATAGGGCGCGTGCGCTCGCCAGACAGACAGAGAGACAGAAAGCGAGAAATCACCCCCAGGGGGGATGGTCACGCCGCAATCCCTTCTCCTCCATTCTCCTCTCGGGATCTTGGGCACGCACGCACACGCGCCCGGTGTGAGTTTAAGCCACCGGGTCCGGAACGCGAACTGCGGTCGACTACGTGGGAGTCCAGCGACATAGCCATTACGCTAACTGCTGGTTCCCTTTTTTTGGGGGGGTACATCAGCTTTTCTTGAGTGCCAGGGACCCTGCGTCTGCGAGTCAGAATGTTGCATTGAGTACTTTAGGGGAGTAGGAAGAAAACCCTTGATCCATTTGGTGCCACCTTGGGGTGCTATGAAACCAAATTTCACGTCATCTTCCTCAGCTCTAAGAGGTAGGTAACGTTACTTCAGAGTAACACGAGGGAACGTTTGGAAACGGTTCCTAAGCCACGAGGATGTCGGGTAAGCGGCTGATCAGGTGCGGACCCCAGTGCGGAGCATGGGCAGCGCAGTGGCGCAGCAGAAACACCCCGGCCACCCTGACTTCCCTCTACCGTGGCGGGCTGGCTGGGTTGAGTTGGCCTCCTCTGTCTCTAGAAGAGCCTAGAGGCTGTGGTCGGGCAGGCATGGCCACGTCCTTTCGGGATGCACTGGAGTGGAATGGCAGCACATCCGTGTCCCCCTCCTGAAGTTAGAGGCCCTGGGTTTGCATCCTGGCGTGATGTTGAGGACTGAGTGACCTCCTTCTGAGCCGAATGATCTGCATCAAGAATGTGAACGAGCAGGGCCAGCAGGCGGCTGGATCCCACATGGCCAATTCCATGGTTCAAGTCCCAGATCCAGTGGCTTGAAAATCATGCTGGGCGCATGTGTGTGTGCTTACGCAAAGTCCTGAGAGAAGGATGGAGGGGAAGGAATTGTGGCATGGCCGTCCCCGTAGGGAGTGGTTTCTCACTTTCTCTCTCTCTCTCTCTCTGGTGAACTCATGTGCCCTATAGCAAAAACTGAGAAAAAGGAGAAGAAATTGAGTGTGAGTGAGCTCTGCCAGGGCCTGGGGTTGCTCTTCGGTTAACACAAGGGCCCTGGAGGGTCCGGCAGGGGGCAGGTGCGGCGCTCTGTGGGGCTGACCCTCTTGGAGGTTCCAGGTTTCCATCCTGAGATTGGGCCATCTGGGGCTGGGGCGAGCGGTGTCAGAAGCCTTTTGGGGTGTTGTCTTTCAGTCTTGCTCATGGGAACAGAAACTGAATAGATAAAGCAGAGGGCCCCAGACTGAGCACAGCCCCAGGGGAAGGCGGGCCTGGCACTCCCCAGTCCCACTCTGCCTGTGTCTGTTTCAGGGTAGCCCCACCTCTGTAGTCCAGACCGAATCCTTTGACACAGCCCACCCTTACATGGAAGGTGAGGGTTTAGAATCAAGCGTCTGTCCTTCCTGGCCCCCTCAGCTCCTGTGTTTATTCACGTAATGTGGGTTATAGACAGAGATGGTGATTTACAACCCGAATCTTCTTTTTAAAGAAATACTTCTGGCACTGGTTTTCAGTTTTTGCAACCATCCTTACAGGAGCTATTATTAGACTTGTCACTGTGTCTCTTTTTCAAAGCTTGCCACCAGTCTTTATATAGACACCTCCATTTTTGAGTTTCTTTATATAGATGCCTTCCCCCTTTTTGAGTCTTTAATCTGGGTCCGTCTCTTGGTTGGTGTGTTAGGGATCATGTTGACGTAGGAGAATAGAAATCTCAAGGGCTCTCTGGGGTACAGACTATCAGCCGAGAGCCACCCTGGTGGATAATGGCAGAGGGTGCAGGGGTTGCTGGGACGCTGGAGAGGAGCCAGGACAGAGCAGCGGAGTGGGTAGCCAGCTCGGAGAAGCTTCTTGATCACAGGGTCCTCTGCAGACTGCTTACCTGAGAAGGCCCAGGGAAGCCTCTGGTCAGTGGCCGTACTCTGGCTTGACCGATAGCTCGCAGACTTGGGTGGTACCAGGCGAGTTCTCTGGGCTGACCTTGGGGTTTGGCCATGTTGGGTCAGGCAGCAGAGACCCCCTGGGAAGCTGGTCTGGGTTACAGAGCTGGCCGGTGGTGGAGCTGGGCCTCCGTGCTGCCCAGGCCCTTCCATCGTGTCCACCCTCCGCTCTTGGCGTCCTCTCACTCTCACGTCCGTCAGCCGTCAGCTGTCAGCTGCGCTCTGGTCACCCTGCAGGGTAGTGCCAGAGTTAGTGATCTGGGCAGTTAGGCGTCCAGGTCGTTTGCTGGGGTCATTGACTGTCCATAGGTGGCAGCACTGAGAGGGACACCCCTCAGGGCCTGGGGCTCAGGGGCCTGTGGAGAGGGAGGGCCAGCTGCCTTAGTCCTTTCAGGCTGCTTTGAGGACGGCACATAAACAACTGGCTTGTCGCTCACAGCCCTGGAGGCCGGGAGTCCCAGACCAGGGCAGGAGCAGGCGCAGCGTCTGGTCGGGACTGCTTTCTTGTTCACGGACTTTCCCTTCAGGAGTTTTCATTCATGCCAGTTCCCCAACTCTTAATGTTATTCTTTGTATTTCTGTGAGGTATCCCAAAGTCTTTTTTTCTAAAGACTATTTAATTCTTCCATAAGTGAGTGAGAGAGATTGAGAGAGAAAGAGAGAGAGACAGCACCCCCAGCAGGGTCTCGGCACTGTGGTCCACTCCCAGCCAGCCCTGGATCCTGGGCACAGGTTCACTCAGGGTGGTCCTCGGACGTGAACTCAGAACCTTCCCATGTGGGTCAGCCTTGCAGAGTCATGTTTTATCACTGCACCACTGTTGGTCACCTCAGGTTCTCTTTAAATCTTTCTTCATTTGTAATTTGTCAAAGGACAAGTAGGCTCAGAGAGAGGGAAATTGAGAAGACATCCCTCCGTGGGGAATGGTCATACCGCGATGCCTTCTCTGCCTTTCCCTCCTTTCAGGATTCTGGGCATGCATACACACGTCCCCAGCACGTTTCTCAAGCCACCAGGTGCGGGGCTGGAACTACGTTGTTGGCTGTGTGGGTCCAGCTGCCGTAACCACCATGCCAGGGGCTGACCCTCCAATTCTTCATGAAGTAGGGAGTAAAATCAACAGATCATCAAGTTAGGCCACTGGAAATGTCTTGGATGCTGGATTCAGAGGCCGGTGAGATTTTTGCCCGCAGAGCGGGCAGGAAGGGAACCGGTGCTACGTGGAACAGCAGAGATGTGGGGAGTGGATGGCAGTGCTGGCAGGGAGCGAGTATGGGGCAGGCCTCTAAGAAGGGTGGGACACAAGCCAAGTTAAAGGTGAGGCGTTTGAAGGCCACAGGCTGGCGGAGAGCCAGAACGTCTCCCCCACAGCATGGCTGGGCGTGAGAAACAGACACCTGCCATTAGGGAGGCTGGGTGAGATGGCAAAGAGAGGCCTTGGCCAGCCTGTAGGGATGAGCTCTGCGGGGCAGCGATACTGGGGATCGGGGTGTATGAAGAGCCGCGTACTCAGCGGGGACTTCCCGGGCGCATGTTGCGGGCCTACCATCGTTCCAGGCGCTGCAGAGAGCCGAGAGCAGGACAGCGCCCCTGCCCTGGGGCTTGCATTTGGGGGTGGGGCCGGACACCTAACACATCTGAGTAAATGCAGTTCACCCGCTGGAGTCAGATAGAGCGCATACTTCGGAGAGAAATAAAGCAGAAGGGTCACAAGGGCTGCAGGGGAGGGCTGCCGTGTGCTCGCCGGTCGGGGAGACCTAGAGGAGGTGTGGGAGTGTGCGCCAGTGCAGAGGCCCGCGGCAGGCCCAGGCTTGGTGTGTTCCAGGAGCAACGAGGCCGGTGGGGCTGAGCCCAGTCGAGGCAGGGCTCGGGCTGTGATAAGATCGGAGTCGTAGAGGACCACCGGGCAGTCTGGTGGGCCGCTGTAAGGACACCTGCTTTTACTCCAAAGGAGCTGGGAGCTCTCGGAGAGTTTCGAGCAGAGAAGGGACCCGGTGTGGCTACGGAATTTGGAGGCTCACAGGACTGCCATGTAGGGACTGGCCAGCAGGAGCAAGGGCAGAACAGAGGAGCCTCCCAGGAACCTGTGCCTCAATCCGGGGAGAGACGATGGTGGCCGGGCTTTGGGCACGGCGTGGTCAGGGGGATGTGGGGCCTGGAAGATTCCTGCCAGTGCTACTACCCACCCGGGAGCAGCTGACGTGGTGCTGTCTCTCTCTAGGTGAGCTTGTCCCGTGCTCCAGGGTTTCGGTTTCTCTCAGGGAGCCTCCTGCTGCCAGGCACCATGACCGTGAGGGGGGCTGCGCTGGCCCCCGACCCAGCATCGCCCACGACTGCAGCAGCTTCGCCCAGTGTCTCCGTGACCCCTGAGGGCAGTCCCACGGCCATGGAGCAGCCCGTGTTCCTGATGACAACTGCCGCTCAGGCCATCTCCGGCTTCTTCGTGTGGACGGCCCTGCTCATCACCTGCCACCAGGTACCCAGGCCCACCGGGACCCTCTAGGAGACTCCTGAGAGGTTTCTAGTCCAGCAGGTATCAGTTAGCCGGGCCAGGTACGCTGCAGTGACACGAACCCTGAATCCTCAGGGCCTTTCTGTGGAGAGGCTGAGGTCCTGCTCCCTCAGCACCGCTCAGCCCAGTGCAGCTCAGCCTGCCCTTCAGGACTCTCACATTGCATAGCTCTGGGGCCTCAGCTCTGCAAGAACTGGGGGCAGGGAGTGTGGGGAAGGCACTTCGATCTTTACCCACCTCTGTCAGAAGGGGCACTTGCCACCACTGCCCGGTTTCTGCGGGAGAGGGAGGGGAACCAGTCTCAGGCAGGATGGTGGCTGGACTGGGATAGAAGTCAGGGTCCCTGAGCCTCAGGGCAGGCTGGTGTGGGCGAGGACAGGCCTTGGCGGCCCAAGGAGTGGTTTGGAGAGTGCCCCATGAAGGGGCCGGTGGCTCTGCCCAGGTTCCAGCTGCCCTGCCCCTTCAGGAACCATGTACGTCCAAGACAACCGGCTCATAGCAGGCAGGGATTTTTGCTTTTTCCCCAGCCCAGGGTGCTGCTGGGCCACGTGTAATGTCACAGGTGCTGGGTTGCAATACTCAGGGCTGCAGGGACCGAGGGTCCTGGCCGGGCAGCTCCTGGCATTTGCGTGGAGCTCGTACTGTTTCCCGTACTTTCTGAACATCTCACTTGCGTCTAACATGGCGAGGCGGTGTCTTGGCTCTGCTGAACAGCTGGGAAGGGCTGTGTCTGTCTCGTGCCCTGCACCAGGAGTGGGGGGACTGGGCCTGGGAGCTGCAACCCAGAGGCCAGCGTGCAGCCCAGTGCCGCTGCTGTCTAACCAGAGGCCTGCCCTGAGTAAGGCGGGGGGAGGGGTGCACACACCGACACTGATGAAGGCCCAGCTCAGGCGCTGGTGCAGACTGTGTGTTCTCGGCTGGTCCTTGACCACTCTGGGCTTGGGCATGGCCTCACAGTCACCCGAGTTTGTAAGGCCGGCCTTCAGCCGCCACCGCTTGCTCTCCGCAGCTGTGTGCATCCGCGTTGGCTCAGTTCTCACAGCAAGCTCTGGGGAAGGTTGTCATCCACATTTCCCAGAGCAGGACCCCATGGCTCGGGCCGGAACCTGCATCAGGCCATGGAATGCATAAGTGGCAGAGCCGCCGTGAAACACGTTCTTGTCCTCCTCCACGGAGTGGAGGGACAGCGTCTCCGGCTGACGGTGCCCCTCTGTCCGCAGATCTACATGCACCTGCGCTGCTACAGCTGCCCCAATGAGCAGCGCTACATCGTGCGCATCCTCTTCATCGTGCCCATCTACGCCTTCGACTCCTGGCTCAGCCTCCTCTTCTTCACCAACGACCAGTACTACGTGTACTTCGGCACGGTGCGCGACTGCTACGAGGGTGAGGACCGCGCCCCTCCTGCCTGGGGCTGGGAGCTAGGAGCCCCTCTCCCCAGATTCCTTCCTGAGGCGCCTCTGGGCCTCAGGACGATGGGGTGTGACCCGCCACCCCTCACTGCTCCACCTGCTTCAGGGTTTCTATCCCAAATTTACGGGTCACAGCATGTGCTGCTGGGCCTCACCGTACAGATGCCTGGAAGCAGGGTGCCTCATTGTGTCTCAGTCCTCAGTTCCGGCATCTTGGATTAGGGACGGGGCTGCAGGCAAGTGGTCTGTTTGTAGGTAGAAGGCCCAGCTAACCCAGGTACAGGTGGGCAGGGACTTACCCAGGGATCCCAGACAAGTCAGTAGCAGGGCTGGGCCTCCATCCCCACAAGTTTTGACTATGACAGCTCTATCCCATGAGGAATGCCACTATGCTATGCAAGAAGGGACCTCACTTCCTTTTGGGGGGCTCGACTCTGTGTGGAGTAGAAACCTCTCTGTCCTGTCCTGAGCTGCAGCCATTGGGCTTACAGGGAAGGCTGTGGATTGCAGAGGGAAGGCCAACCCCATGCCTCACCATGAGTGGTCTGTGGGCCTGGGTAGTCACCACAGGACTGTGAAGAATTGGCGTGTGCCTGGCTGGGGGTCTTGGGCGAGGAGGGACTATGTTTGGGGCTGGCCTCAGCCAGAGGAGAGGTCAGCAACTGGAAAGGAAATGGCGAGGGGGGCAGGACAGGGACACACAGAGCCCTGCAGGCCATTAAAGCTTGGATTTTCTTTTTACCGTCGACGCATGAAAATTCTGTGAGAATGGAAGTTGCAGGACGGAAAGACCTGTGTGTGGAGGGTAGGTGTGTCCCCAGACAGGTCACAGGCCAGTAGGGATGGAGAGGAGGGGTCCTCAGATCCAGACCCTTGCCCTGCTGCCCGCCCCGTGGCAGTTTCCGGTGTCCTCCCCTACCTGCACTGCTAGTTTGGGGAATAACCAGACGCCGTTTTCTTTTCTTTTTTCTTTTTGTTTTTTGGAGAGGTTTTTTGTTTTGTTTTGTTTTTTTTCTTTTTTCCGCTATAGGGCGCGTGCGCTCGCCAGACAGACAGAGAGAGACATAGAGACAGAAAGTGAGAAATCACCCCCTAGGGGGAATGGTCACGCCGCAATCCCTTCTCTTCCATTCTCCTCTCGGGATCTTGGGCACGCACGCACACGCGCCCAGTGTGAGTTTTAAGCCACCGGGTCCGGGATGCGAACCGCGGTCGACTATGTGGGAGTCCAGGGACATAGCCATTATGCTAACTGCTGGTTCCCAGATGCCGTTTTCTTTAGGCCAAGGCTCTGGTCATACCCAGGAATTTTCTGCTTCCCTGACCTGGGAAGGCTTTGCCCTGGGCCCGGGCTCTATGGATATTGGGGTGCAACAAGTAGCTGGAGTCCCTCTTTGGACCTTGGGCATCCCTGAGGACTCCCAGGGCACAGAAAGTGCCTTTGGATTTGGTGAGGAAGTAGGGGTACCTAACAGGAGCCCACTGCGCTCCCTTCTCGCGCCTCCAGTCTCTCCCGCGCCCCCTGGGATTGCCCTGCAGCCTGGTAGGCTCCTTAGATGCTCTAGGCCTGGGGGTGTGGTGTGATCCCTCTCCCCAGTGCCAGGAAAGCGCTTCCCCTGCCCCTGCACGGCCAGCTCCCTTTCCTCCTGCAGTCTGTTCTCAGGCCTTTCCTGCTGCTGTGACTCCCAGCATCCTGTCCACACCCTCCACGGCCACACCACGGTGTGCAGTCGACTCGCTGCTTTCTGTCTGCCCAGGTAGCCTGTTAGCCCTGTGAGAGCAGGGCTGGATGCCCGGTCCATGCTTAGGCAGACCCAGGCACTTGGCAGGTGCTTACTGAGCATTTTGTGATGAATAAGGGGCCTCTGAGACACCTGCCTGGAACACACCCTCACGTCCTTCCACGTGGAGTCCCAGGCACCTCCTCCTAGGCTGCTGCTCCCATCCTGCTCTTCCAGGAAAGACTGCTGAGGTCAGGTGGGGACTTGCCCAGGGCTTAACTGGGGCTCTTGTGTCTGCTGGTCCTGGAAGTAGCTGAGTCCTCAGGGAGGCTGGGGTACCTGGAAGGCTGTAAAGACTGGAGAATCCTTTGCCAAAAGTTCAGCTGCCAGCTTGGCATGAGTGCCCCCTGACTCCTTGAGAAGAGAAGAGCTGCTCCCTGTGTGGGTGAGGGGCAAGTGTATGCTCCCTACTTGGCAGGGCCCTGAAGGCTGAGGTGCAAGGCAGAATGTTGGGGGTGAGGCCAGGGGAGCCTCTGCTCCGCTCTCACTCCATGCCTCAGGCAGCAGCAGATGGTTGGTGGGTGGCGAGTACCCCCACTCTGGAAGCCTCTTTGTTCAGGCCCCGCCTGTCCCGACCTACCTCCCAGCCTGCATAAGGTCCTTGCAGGAGTCTGCCGCCCTGTGGATCGCATCTCCTAGCAACACCATTATCCAGGCCTGGCCTCTCCGAGGAGTTTACAAATAGCACGGCAGCTGCTGTGGAGCCCAGGCTGCCCCGAGTCCCAGCCTCAGTGTCCTGGCCTGCTCCTGGCCCCTGCCTGTACCTCCGCTCTGGGCCTCGGTCCTTCTCCATTGTTCTTCCATCAGAAGTACCATGCAGCTGCCCAGCGTTGGTGATGGATGTCCCTTAAGATTCAAAAGGAGTTCCCCATTTGCTTCCCCTGTCCCTGCCTCCCCATTACCCAGGTACTGAGAGGGAGCCAGGAGGAAGCAGGAGTAGACTGGGCCAAAGACTCATTTCAGATCCAGCCTGCACATAGCACGGGCTGCTCAGAGCCAAGCACTGCACAGACATTGTTTTCCTAATTGCCAGAGGCTGCACGTGCTAGAGAGAGAGAACCCCAGTGGAGTATGATCTGCCACAATCCTTTCCTCCTCCATCCCGTCTGGATTTTGGGCACGTTGTTCAAGCTGCTAGGGTTGGCATTCGAACTGTGGTCAGCCATGTGGGATCTAGCTCCTGGGACTGGCCCAGCATTGCTTTCATTTAGACAAAATTCTACTTTAAAAGTAAATGCTAAAATTTTACTTTTATTGAGGTAGCACCTACATATGGTTGAAACACAAAACTGCCCCATTTCTCTCCACTCCCAATCCATGGCACTTTCAGCTCTTTCAACGGCTTCTTTCTACTTAAAAATGTGTTTATACTGTTTTGTTTTTTTCCTCCATAGGGTGTGTGTACTAGCTGGAGAGACAGAGTGGGAAAGTGAGAAATCATCCCCTGGGGGAATGGCCATGCCACAGTCCTGTACCTTCTCCTCTCAAGATTTTAGGGATGCATACATCCATGCCCAGAGTGTTTCTCAGGCTACTGGGTCTAGGGCTTGACCCACACAGTCAGCCATGAGGGATCTAGTGCCTTAACCATCATGCTGCATGCTGGCCCTGTACTGTTTCTTGATAGTAAAATTTTTAATAGTGATTTTTTATTATAGACCGTTTTGATTTAGGTACCCTCCTGCTGCACACGTACGTGCACATGCACTTCCCCCCTCCTGCTGCACACGTACGTGCACATGCACTTCCCCCCTCCTGCTGCACACGTACGTGCACATGCACTTCCCCCCTCCTGCTGCACACGTACGTGCACATGCACTTCCCCCCTCCTGCTGCACACGTACGTGCACATGCACTTCCCCCCTCCTGCTGCACACGTACGTGCACATGCACTTCCCCCCTCCTGCTGCACACGTACGTGCACATGCACTTCCCCCCTCCTGCTGCACACGTACGTGCACATGCACTTCCCCCCTCCTGCTGCACACGTACGTGCACATGCACTTCCCCCCTCCTGCTGCACACGTACGTGCACATGCACTTCCCCCCTCCTGCTGCACACGTACGTGCACATGCACTTCCCCCCTCCTGCTGCACACGTACGTGCACATGCACTTCCCCCCTCCTGCTGCACACGTACGTGCACATGCACTTCCCCCCTCCTGCTGCACACGTACGTGCACATGCACTTCCCCCCTCCTGCTGCACACGTACGTGCACATGCACTTCCCCCCTCCTGCTGCACACGTACGTGCACATGCACTTCCCCCCTCCTGCTGCACACGTACGTGCACATGCACTTCCCCCCTCCTGCTGCACACGTACGTGCACATGCACTTCCCCCCTCCTGCTGCACACGTACGTGCACATGCACTTCCCCCCTCCTGCTGCACACGTACGTGCACATGCACTTCCCCCCTCCTGCTGCACACGTACGTGCACATGCACTTCCCCCCTCCTGCTGCACACGTACGTGCACATGCACTTCCCCCCTCCTGCTGCACACGTACGTGCACATGCACTTCCCCCCTCCTGCTGCACACGTACGTGCACATGCACTTCCCCCCTCCTGCTGCACACGTACGTGCACATGCACTTCCCCCCTCCTGCTGCACACGTACGTGCACATGCACTTCCCCCCTCCTGCTGCACACGTACGTGCACATGCACTTCCCCCCTCCTGCTGCACACGTACGTGCACATGCACTTCCCCCCTCCTGCTGCACACGTACGTGCACATGCACTTCCCCCCTCCTGCTGCACACGTACGTGCACATGCACTTCCCCCCTCCTGCTGCACACGTACGTGCACATGCACTTCCCCCCTCCTGCTGCACACGTACGTGCACATGCACTTCCCCCCTCCTGCTGCACACGTACGTGCACATGCACTTCCCCCCTCCTGCTGCACACGTACGTGCACATGCACTTCCCCCCTCCTGCTGCACACGTACGTGCACATGCACTTCCCCCCTCCTGCTGCACACGTACGTGCACATGCACTTCCCCCCTCCTGCTGCACACGTACGTGCACATGCACTTCCCCCCTCCTGCTGCACACGTACGTGCACATGCACTTCCCCCCTCCTGCTGCACACGTACGTGCACATGCACTTCCCCCCTCCTGCTGCACACGTACGTGCACATGCACTTCCCCCCTCCTGCTGCACACGTACGTGCACATGCACTTCCC